TTTGGCCGATTTTAAAACATCATTTATTAGTGTAATCTCTCTCCACTGATTGGCTGCCATTCTCACAATAATAATTGAACCACCTTGTAAAATATTCCTCTGATTGGAAGGCATTTTAAGCTTTTGTTGATTATTTTTACATACTCTGTTCAACTAATACACTGTCCTGAGAGCTACTTCTAACAGGTATATTGCTGCCTAAATTTCCATTATCCCTTTTCATCCTTTCTCTTCTTTTCACCTTCTGGGAATGAAAGGAACTTGGGAAAAAAATTTTTTTTTTCCCCCCCATTTTATTCATTGATCCATGGGCCACATTATCCTACTTTATCCTGAATCTATGACTCTTTGGAACCAGAAGAATGGAAAAAGTGAATAAAGATGAACAAAACCTTTCTCCCGCTTAGCGTTTTCCGGTTGCGAGATTCCTCTTCCTGTGCGGGGTCTCCTCCTCATCGCTCCTGCTGCCCTTTTTCCTGGACTACGGTCAATTTGGTCTTTAGGCTCATACCCGTCTCCCCGAGACATTCTGCAGTCATTATCACCTTTTTGGGTGGATTTTATTTTGTTTTGTTTTTTAAAATAACTTTTTGACATTGATGCATATTTGCTTGGGATAGAGCTTGTGTAATTTACCAATCTTATTGATTGTATGTGATTGTGCCCTGCAGAGGTATATTTAACAAGACAAAAACAATCTAGGTTCATAAAGGAGCCCTTGAGATTTGAGTCAGATTATAAATGATTTCATGAAATCACCTATAGTTTTGGATAGTGAGAATTTATGTCTCTTCCTGTTATAAATCAGTGCTAGACAAAATAACCATTTTTAAAGTGTTCTTGCATTCCTATTTTTTCCCTTGCCTCAGCTCCCTGTTCTTTGTTGCCTGCCTCCACCACCTGTTCAGAAATTAAAATATTGAGCCTTAAGTGACAGCTGATTTGTAAATTGCTGAAGTTTGTGAGATTTTACTTTTTCCAAGTGTTTCCAACTTAAAAAAAAAAAAAATCGAAGACAGATAGATAATGGGTTGGAATTTCACAAGCTGTGACTAATTCCTTAGCATCTGGCAAACTGTGAAATCTTGTTTGAAGACTTTATTTCCTGAAAGTTCTTTTGGAATAGGGAAAAGAACCCTGTTTGAAGTGAACCATTTTCCTCTCTTTTTAAATCTGTTTGTAGTTCCAGTTTTTAAACAGCCTTCAAATCAAGCGAGGTGGGAAAAATAGAATAGGAACATGTTCAGGGAAGCAGAACTCTGGGTCTGAATAAGTACATATTCTGCTCGTTGCAGGTTTCGGAGAGGATTCGGGCCATCTTCTTCAATTTTGTATTATTTGTGTGCATGTTTATATCAAAGATGCCATGTTTTGTTAAAATGCTACTTTTATTAGTTTGGAAACTGACTCAGCCTCATGTTGCTCCTAATTAGTGTTTAAGGCTCCCATGAGTTGCAGATAAAAGGATTATTTTAACAAGTAGAAGGAGGTGATTCACCTTTTGGTCTGTATATATATATATGAAAGTGTCTACAAGGTCTTTATCTGCTTTCTGTCAGCATTTATATTAAATGATAAATTAATGAGAAACGTGTAGTCTTTTTTGTAAATGAGTCTGTGCCATCTTATTCTAACCATGAGATTAATTTCTTACACTTTTTTTTTTCTTTTTAGGTGAAAAATAGAGAAGTAGGTAATATGCACAACCAGAAC